GTTGACCTGAACCCGGAATCCTCCTATGGGGGATTGCCCTGCAAAGCCTGACATTTACTGCCACGCCACCATCTGCCCCCACCAAGACTTTTTATGTATAACCACAATACTTTTATCACATCCAACAGAATTAACTACAGTTACCCAGGACCTTGTACTATCTCTGTAGTCAGCTTCCCCTGAAAAACGTCATCTTACATTTGGGTTATTCCTTTGGAATCCAAACAAGAACCATATAGCATTTGGCATTTGGTTCTTTAGGACTGCTCTGTAATTAAAATGTCTTTTCTTCCCTTTCACCTCCTTCTATCCCTCCTTCCTCCTCTTTACCCTCCTCCATCTCCCCTTTCAACTCCCCCTGCCCCTTCCTCTCTCCCTTCCTTCCTTCATTCATGTTCATGACTTGCTGATGAAACTGGGTCAGTTGTGTGGAAGAACCTCTCTCAATTTGGATTTCTCTGTTGGTATCTCCCTTTCAACTGGTTTCTCTAGCCTCTAAATGTCCTATAAACTAGAAGTGAGCTCAGATGACCTAATTAAAATCATGTTCAACTTTCTTCTTGATATTAAGAGTCAGGAACAAACAAGAATATGTCATACAACAGGGCTCTTCATACTACCTCACACCAGGGAGCATACGATGCTTGTGTGTCATGCTTCTAACAATGGTAAAATTGGACAAGGGTAATAGCACAGCCTTTCTATTGAGGTTTTTTGTTTGTTTGTTTTTGTTTTTTGTTTTTTGTTTTTTCCCCAGTCTTTCCTCCCATGGTTTCATCCATTACTGATTGTTCTCTGAATTGATTCTATCATTAGGATTTGCAATAATGAATTTTTAAATCTGCCACTCCACATTTATTAGTGGAAATTCTCCTATAAGAAGAGATTTCCCTTATAAACTATGCCTGTTTATGAGGGAAACATGTAATAATTCATCCTGGAAAGAAGCTTGTTATTTAAGTAGCTAAAGGTAATGAGATACAAGGATTTCACATCACACAAGTATCCATTTTACATGTGATTGTGAGAACTTCTGTAGAATAAAGATATGTATTTGATTTTCATGAATGTTGTAGATATTAGGATAACTTTATGTAGTCAGCATATACAGTATTGTCATACAGGAGTCAGACATTTCTCCTTCTACTTGGTCTAATATATTACTTTGTGATGAGTTGTGATAATGAATTGAGTCTCAGGGGATGGGAAACTTCAATAAATCAACAAACTGAACAGTAACACCTAGCCAGAATAGACAAACATGTGGCAATAAACTTAAATTTAGGAAACAGTCACCATTTGTGTTAGCAGTTTATTCACCAAACACCACTAACCCCATTTTTATTTTATACTGTTAATAAAACCCAAAGGAGAAAGAAAGCCAGACTATTTCATTGCTAGATGACATGATTGATTACCTAGCAAATATAAGATGATGAACTTTAAAATAATTTATTTAACTGTAAAGATTTAGTGAAGTGTTATAATATCTTTCTGATGGATGAAAAACATATGAGAAAAAAAATTCAGAAATACTAGGGAAAATAACTCACTCAGAAATATACCAAAGGAAATATAATATTTATAAATAAATTTGATAATAATGTTAGATATTTTTTTAAAAATTAACATGTTTTTAAAAAGTTAAGATTTAAGTAAATTGGAGAGAAACTTTCTGAATCAAGAATATTGGCTAATCATTCCACTACAAGTAAGTTATAGATTTTTTTGGTTTACATGTAACTTTCAAAATTCCTAGTGATACAGTTGACAGTGATTCTATAATGAGGGGAAGTCTGCCCTACAAAAGATCAGCAGGGTTTTAAAAAGTATTAGTATCTGAAACAGTGATAATGAAGCAAGAATAGATGTGTAAGTGGGAGATCAGAATAAACCTCTCTGCCCTTGGAGACTTAACTATACATTTTACTTGACCCTCTGACTTCATGGTCAGTGAGAGTCAAGAGACATGGCCTTCCTCTGTGACATGCAGATTCCCGTGCCTAACTGGTGACTTCATGATTCTCTGCCTCACTTTCATGCCACCTTGGTTTCTGTCATTGCGAATACACCTATGGGAACAGCTCTTTAACTAGTTTCAAAATTTTCATATTTTGTGTGGCCAGAATCTCTGAGTAGGTGATAGACCAGCAAGTTCTTTTTTCAGTCTTTGAACTGAACATGCTGTCCACATTCATTTCCTCTTTCTACTCACACTTTTTACCTAGGTTGGTGTTCCCTAAAGTATAGGCTGCCAATTGGTCCTGGTTTATTAACCAATTCATACCTAGCTGCCTCCTCCTTATTTCTATACTTGCCTGGAAACATACAGCAACATGGCATCCAAAGCACATCACCAAGCTCATCTGGCGGAAAGGTAGACTACACTTGTTACTGCAGCTGCTAGGAGAGCTTTAGGTAGGGTGAGATGAGTACGAGTCATGCGTGGTAGGCTGTGAGCCATGGGTTCTCAGTGGGGAAAAAAATAGCCCTTAACTGCAGGCAGTATGAGCAACATTGATCAAGATGAAAGAGAAAGTAGATTGCTCAGGGCAGTGGGTCAGGAACTTAAAATGAGTTGTGTTAGTATGGCTTAGTAATCTATACTGAATCTGTTGAATTAGACTTCATCCTTTTTGTTAGCCATAATGAGTCAAAGGAGCCATGATCTTTTGAGCCTCATGCCCATACTAAGCCTCATAATCAGTATGAGTAAGGATGATAAAATAATTTTTAGGCAGTTCCTCTACCCGAGAAGCTTATTTTTTTACTTTTCATCCCTCTTGACCCGAGAGATTCAACCAATTATTGGAAACTTTTCCTTTAAATAAAGTTTCCAACTTTTACTGTCTTTGATGTCTTCTTAGCTCTTTTTGGCATATTATTATACTTAGTTCTTTGTAACTACAATATATTAAAAAAAATCCCCAAAAGAAAGTTCAGAGGCTTACATGATATCCAAAATTGGAAAATTATTTTAAATTGAATTTTTGCATACACAAATTTTTTTTAGTCTAAAGTTTTGTTTTAAAACCTTCCCCTATTTTCACATTTAAGCCTGACCCTCTGGTACAAGATACAGTATTATATTGAATTATTTGTAAAATATGGAAAAATCTTGACTCCTACAATAAAGATGTAATCCATAAATTAAAAAATTAGCTTCTAGGCCAATAGATGGTGTGATTACATCTCTGGACTCGTACATGGCCAACTGCAGTTTGAATTACAGACCCAGTGGCTTAAAAATCACACCAGGCTCATGTGCATGCGTGCCCAAGATCCCAGGAGGAGAATGGAGGAGACGAGATTGCATTCAGCCATCCTCCCTGGGGGGTGATCTCTCACTTTCCCTCTCACTGTCTCTGTCTCTCTCTCCAGCAAGCACACATGCCCTATGGCAAAAACCTCCATTAAAAAAATATTTTAATGATACAGGTTAAGAATGAATCCTGGATTTACTATCTCTTTTCTTATTGGGGTTTTGGATAAATAATAAATGGTAGCCTACATCCTGAAATTAAATGTACCATACACATTGTCCAATTTGTTTTGAGATTAATTCCACATTTGCAGAATTTAAGATCATATGTAATCCTGTGTGATCATTTGTAAATAGTTATTTCTTCTGATTGTATTATCCTTATATATTGAATTTTTAAAAGTAGATATACCCTTTATTAATATCATTGATCTGTTATCAATTTCAGCATTTCTTCTTTTTCTCCCTAATTTATCAATTTTAGAAAGGGCTGGAAAACACATAAATCAGTCTAGTCTATGTATTTAAATAGTCTATACATTATAGAAAAAGAAATACATAGTGTTTAGCACTTCTTATTAAATTCTTTATTTTTAAAAATTGAATAAAATTTACATATAAGGTATATAAGAAAATCATACTGATAGAATAGCACCTTCTGTTTTCAATGGAATGTTACGGTAATAATTTACTTAGGCAGAATTATAACAATTTTATCACATACTTTATATTGGTCTATTCTCTAAAAGATGAAAAAGAATTAATACTAAAGTATTAAGAAGGCATGTTACTGATGAAAAAGAATTAATACTAAAGTATTAAGATGGCATGTTACTTTTCATTTATATTTAGTACTCTCTTCTTAGATTTGATACTTGGTCATATATTTTAACGTACACTGTATGATTTCCTGGCCTTAAAGTATTCCATCTGTTTTTAGAAATTCAGATTATAATAATATAGCATTTTATCATGAATATTTTAAGATAAAGCATTTTAAACATTTTATTCCTTCTAGTTATTTAGAGGTTAAAGATTTATATTGTTAATATTTCCTCAGACAACACATTTTCAAACTCCACAAAGCATATGTAGGCTTCTTATGGTTTTATTTTATGTAAGAAATGGCCTTAATAATATTGACTAAGTGGTTAATATTCTTTTATATTTTTTAGTGCTTACTATGTGCTGCCTATTTAAGGGTCTACAGTTAATCAGAGTGTTTAAAGAAGCCACTTTCCTTTTCCTCACAGAGATTTACATTCTAGTAGATTAATTCATATGTTATTCTATGGCATTTAACACAATTCAAAAGGCTACTTTTCTGCCGTCAGGAAACGCACATGTCATTATTTGGAAATATCAAGGCAGGGCAAAATTTTGCCCCCACTGTTTAATTCATTGTTTTTAAATGACTTAGATAAACTGATTTTTTACAAAATGGAATTAACAACTGTGATCATTTGGCATCCTAAACTTTTCCCACATTATTCTCAACTTCTCAGTTAATAGGTTAGCAGTCCAATTAGTCACTTAAAGTTTTGGGTTTAAGTAGTAATATTTGAAGCGTTCAGTTTTTGGGGAAGATAATTTTGCTCGGAATAGAATATGATTTTTCATATGTTCATGATCTTATCTACTTTCTTCATTCAGAACCACATTTTGTAATATGGACAGATAAACTTGGTACACATGGTATGATCTCAGTATAATCTTTTACTCTTCTCTCCTCCTTCAGGAAAATCTTAAACTTCCACCACAAGAAGATTATAGAGGCCCCTCCTGTACCAAGAAAGATCTGCAGATATTTTTCAGTGTTCTTGGAGGTGTGGGGTGTGAGAGCTTGATCAGTTTGTGTCAACCACCTTGTTCTCTAAAGGTAAGCACTGGATAGCGAGTGCACACTCATGGGCCCAGGCTCCTAACAGGACTGGTTTTGGAATGCTCCATTGAGGGTTTGACTTCCATCAGACTTTGTCACAGAACATGGGCCCAAGCAGCCCCTGTGGGCAGGAGACACATTCATTGAGAGGTTATTTTTGTTGTTTAGAAATGAAGTGTGTCCTATGGCATTTTATTTTTTTAAAAATCCCAATTATATTAAAACTTGTTTTCAGCTGAATCTGCATCTTAATTAGTTAAAAGCTGCTGGTATTAACCTCTCTTCAAGAACTTTTCTTGGATGTTTTGAGATTTGCATTCAAGAATTTTGGAACAATGACCATTAATAAGCATCTGGTGACTTAATAGCTTACATTGGTAAAAACCACTTTGAAGAATTGATTTTCATGATCTTTTTGAAGCTTGTCTTGCTTCTACATCAGGGGAAGTTCCTCAGATCATTTTGTAATCTGTGTTATGCTTCAGAAATTATAGAAGCAGAGGTCTTCTCAATCTTTAAAAGGAATATGATCATAAAATTTCATATGTCAGATTTTATATTACTTAAAATCAGCATTTTTCCCTTTTCTTAAACATTTTGCTTATCTTCAGAAAAGGAGGAATAAATATATTCTCTTTCAGGGAAACCTTAAGGAAGATAAATAAATTGATGTCCCCCCTTTATTTCTACAATCCAATATAAGAAAACTTTATTGTTCTCCAGTACAATTTATTCACATCTATCAGAGTGACCAATTCTAAGTTAAAATGTCATTTGGATATAATTCATTGACTGTGGAGAAGAACAGAAGCATACTGATTTTGAAAATGTCATCAGTATTAAAAGTAGATCAGTATTAGATACGAATAATGTTGGCTGTCCAGAGACTAAATGTCTAAAAAGAGATTAGATTTTAATCTTCAGGATACTATAGCATTGGCAATAAGGACTTAAAGTGCTGATGAAGAAATTAAATATATTTGTTCCATTTTGGTCATTTTTTTCTTAGAGCTCTTAAAGTGATCTTAGAAACTTTAGTTCTACAAGATGTGAACTTCTTTATGTATGATTAAATTTAGGCAAAATCTGCTGATTTTTGTCTAACAACCCTAGTCACCTCTGATACATGATACATTTTTTTATCTCTTCAAAATCATTGTTCTTCGCATACCTCTATAATAAAAGATTAAAGAGTAAAAATCTCTTTGTATTTGCTATTAGAATGAGGAAGAAATACAACTTAGACCTTTCTTGAAGAGCTTTAAGAACCAGTTTACTTTTTGGTATATAAAAAGTGGTGGAATTAGAAGTAGTCCTGCCTAATTTAACTTTAGGCACGATTCAAAGATTTCATTCTCCAAAGTAGATATAATATGTATGTATGTGTATGTATATATAAGGACCAGCATATGGCATAATGGCTACATCGCTGGACTCCCACATAGTCAACCGTGGTTCAAGTCCTGGACTCGGTGGCTTAAACTTACACTGGGCGCGTGTGCATGTGTGCCCAAGGGATAAAGAATCCCTTCCTCTGCAGAGGATTTTGATAATACTCCCAAAAGCGGTATGCAAGCTAGGGCCTGTTTATAGCTCATACTTTCCTAGTTGACAAAGACAGATGAAGGACTTACGCGACAACCTGTACATATTTAAACATTTTAAATCCTAAATTATTACGTTAAGATATTAAATTCATAAGATGTTATAAATTGACTGATTGGTTACTTGAATGTATAAAACAAAAGTTTTCTACAGCACTTTTATTTATTTATTTATTTTTTGGAGAGGTTTTTGCTATAGGGTGCGTGCCCTCGCCAGAAAGACAGAGAGAAACAGAGAGATAGAAAGAAGTCACCCCCCCAGGGGAGATGGCCATGCCACAATCCCTTCTCCTCCATTCTCCTCTCGGGATCTTGGGCACGCACACACACGCACCTGGCGTGAGTTTAAGCCACCAGGTCCGGGACTCGAACCGTGGTCAGCTACATGGGAATTCAGCGACATAGCCATTACGCTAACTGCTGGTCCCTACAGCACATTTTATAATTCACCCTGGGCAATAATTTAGCGGTTTTCAGAGTCCTGGCTATTTCTAGGTATTTTCCTACTAATAGTTACTGCTGCAGCTTTCATGTGACTCTCCAACTGACACATGCATAAATGCAAAACATAGGCTGCTGAATGCCAGGGGAAGGCTTACATCACAGTTCTTAAGTACGTGTAATAATTTTTACCACTGGAACCCTGATACACACGACAGGTATTTGCTTATTTTTAAATTATTTTTAAATTTTATTTATGATAAAGGACACATGCGTGCATACAAAAGGGGGAGGAGAGAGAGAGAGATACCCTCAGCAGGGCCCATCACACTGCAGCCTCCTTCCCCTAGCTGTCCAGCTCCTCAGAATCCCCGCAAACACGTGCACATACTGGTATGTTTCAGGTTGTCCTGGCCGGGGACCCAAACCCATGGGGGTCCATTCAGCTCCCAGCACTCAGTTCTGCAAGCACAGACTTCATGCCACAGGGGCTGGGCCCAGTCAGTTCTGTTACCAGTGTCTTTAATTTTTCCTGTGGCCCTCATTTGCAAAGGAATATCTTTCTATTTTTATTCTTTATGTTTTTTAATTGCCAGGGAGTGCATGTCTTTGTCAGAGAGAGATAGACAGAGAGACAGAGATAAAGAGGGAGAGAGAGAAGGTACCCACAGATGAGTTGTGGTCATGCCACAACCTCTTCTTTACTTCTCCACTTTGTCAGGATTTGGGGCATGCACACACATGCACTAGGTGTATTTTTCAGGCCACCAGGGCCAGAATTCAGACTATTGTTGGCCACGTGGGACCCACCTCCATTAACCGTTAGGCTACAAGATTGGCTCCTCCATTTATATTCTATAACATTTTTAAAAGTATTCATTATTGTACTTCTAAAATTATGTAACATCATCTTCAGTGTGGTGTATCTACCTGCCTTAAACTCTCCAAAAGAGACTGTGCATGTTCTTTAAGGACAGAAATTACAGTGAGTCCAAGTTCTCTTCTCATGGGGGGAATACTTGACTTCACGAAGTGAATTACTATAGGTGACAGCTCTGCATCATTACCTGCTAGGCAGGTAGATACAGCGGCCAGCACAGTGGCAATTAGTCTTTCAGAGCTTAAGCTGTGGTGCATTCCAAATCCATTCACACTTAGGAGAATGTACCCATGAGTGTGGGTATGTTTATAATTACTGCATTTCCTTCAGAGAACAAGAATTGCTGGTAAGTTTCTTCTTCTTCTTTTTTTTTTTTTTTTTTTTTTTTTTTTTTTATGGTGATCCAATAACTATTTTTAAATAAGAAATTTCAGGATCTGAAAGTATTGCCCTTCCCCCAAAACAGTCACCTAAATGGTCTCACACATAGCTTTCATTATGTAATAGCTTCTTTCCTCACTCTTAACGTAGAACCTAAGCTGGTGGTGTGGTGGGATCGGAGGGGAGACAGCTTCCTGTCATTCGAAAGACGTGAGTGTCACACAGTTTCACGTCTAGAAGTATCCTAAGTTTATGTAAGAATCTTACTTTGCCTAACTTCCAGTGTCTAAGGTTTGAATTATTTTGTCAAATTAACACCTACATCTATATATAAGTAAGGTGTTCAGCCTTCCCTAAGTAATGTCTTTAGCAGCAATGAGAAAATTAATGAGTTGTATTTGGGTTTTCACTTTTATTCTCAAAACAGACTTTGTTTTGTTTAAAGACTTTAACCTTACTTCTGGAACCACAATTTAAAACTACAAAAGATCTTAAGTATAATCTAGTTCACTTTTGATCCAGGGATCCTGGGATGAACTTCAGAGAAAGTGTATATCCCATTAAATTATAATCAAATTTTATATGTATGTGCTTTGCTGGGGAAAATTTTCATAATTTTCATCATATTCTCAAAGGTTTTGTAACAAAATATTTGGTCAACAATCACTTATTAAAGAGAAAATTAATTACGTATTGTAACATACTTTTTTTTTCTCTTTGCAAATCCGTCTTCCAAAAAGGTTAATTAATACTGAAGAAAGTATTGGGTTGTCGGAAAAGTTGTGACACATTTTTGCATAGAAGGCTATAGAACTATATGTCTTCTCTTTCCTGATGACCTAATATGAGAATATTGTTAGTTTTTTGGTAGTTCCAGAATGTTCAAGTAGTTAATTGTCTTAAGAGATATCACACTGGGCATTGTTAGGACTCCTAGTTCTGAACTAGTTAAATTATAGTAGATTGTAGGGACCAGCAGTTGATGGAATGGCTATGTTGCTGGACTCCCATGTAGTAAGATTGTAAGATGATTGTAAGATGCTTTTAACCTGACAATAGTATTTTAGTAATGATGAGTAAGCAAGTTTTACGTTGAGAAACCAATGAATGCTTCTTTTTCAATATAAAGGAAATACTTTTTCATCTTCCTACTACTAGCCTGTAAAGTCTGCCTAATTCAAGGTTTAGTGAATTTATATCATTAATTTATTATTATACTAAAAAAATTGGGAAAAATGCATAGAAAACAGTTACTTCCTGAATGAAATGGAAAAAATAAGAAAATTTACTACGTATATTTTTTATTGAGGATAAATTTTATTTAAAGATTTTAAAATGCATAGTATAAAGTTCACTATAAAAATGGTATTATTTTTCTGAAATAGAAGGAAAGATGAGATTCTGTTTTTGTGTTTGTTTCTATTTTCCCCTTTGGACATTATTTCTCAAGATAATTATAAATATGGGCCTATAAAAGGTGACTTCTTAAATTAGCCAGATTTTTTTTTTTCGAGAGGTTTTTGCTACAGGGTGCGTGCGCTCACCAGACAGACAGAGAGAGACAGAGAGATAGAAAGCGAGAAATCACCCCCCAGGGGGGATGGCCATGCCACAATCCCTTCTCCTCCGTTCTCCTCTCAGGATCTTGGGCATGCACGCACACACGCCCTGTGTGAGTTTTAATCCACCGGGTCCGGGACACAAACTGCGGTCGGCTACATGGGAGTCCAGCGACATAGCCATTACGCTAACTGCTGGTCCCAAATTAGCCAGATTTTTTATTTTTATCTAGAAAGAATAGTTTGTGAATGTACTTGCTAGGCCACCTGTGTCATTTTCTATGGGTAAGAAAATTATTATTTCTATTTCTAAGAAATAAAAAGTTTATTTTTACTTTTTATTCATCAGACTTTTTATATTTAATAAAGAAAAGCTTGAAATTTTGGTAGAAACTTTTGTAAATATTTATGAATATTCCTTTGTTTTTAGAATTACTTTATTTAACTGTATTTATTTATTTATTTATTTATTTCACCAGAGAGGGACAGAGCGAGAGAGTGAGAGAAAGAGAGGGAAAGTGAGAAAGCAAGCCGCCAGGTCTGGTACTCAAATAGTGGTTGGCCATGTGGGAGTCCGGCGCCCTTAATCACCACACCACCTGTCAGCCCCTTCTGAATGTTCTTTAAAAAGTTGAAATATAGACAACTATTAAATACTCTCTTGACTTTTCATTCAAAGAAACTGAAACAATTAAGTTCCCTCACTCAGTTCATAAAATCAGTGGTGGAACCTTGGTTTTCAGGACCAAGAAAATCCAAAAATCTCCATGGAGACAATGAGTGATAATTGATTTATGATCACTTTTATTTCACAATTTTATTACCATACATTTATTGTTTAAAAATTTTTCAAATAAACTTAAGAACCATTAAAAGTGTCTTCTTCCTGTGCCTACATGCCTGACTTGTATTTCTGCATGTTGATCAACTTAACATATAACTCTTATTTTAAGTTCATGTGTCAATGACTCTTATCAATGTGCCTGTTATAGTACTTAGATTTTGAAACCTTGCTCCAGCTATCGGCCATGTTCTTCTAGACGACTTAAATAAATTGATTTAATCAGTCATCGGATAGATGGGGAACAGTGAGTGATAATTGATTTATGATCACTTTTATTTCACAATTTTATTACCATACATTTATTGTTTAAAAATTTTTCAAATAAACTTAAGAACCATTAAAAGTGTCTTCTTCCTGTGCCTACATGCCTGACTTGTATTTCTGCATGTTGATCAACTTAACATATAACTCTTATTTTAAGTTCATGTGTCAATGACTCTTATCAATGTGCCTGTTATAGTACTTAGATTTTGAAACCTTGCTCCAGCTATCGGCCATGTTCTTCTAGACGACTTAAATAAATTGATTTAATCAGTCATCAATTGCTTGGGGAACAGTGAGAATTGCTTGGGGAACAGTGAGAATTGCTTGGTAAACAGAACACATGTCCTGCCCTCACAGCACTTGCAATTGAGAGGCGATTGCTAAGCTGATGTGCGGTCAAAGAACAAAAATTATGGTTTATTTCAGATTGCAGAAATAAAATTTTAACTGACTCTGATGCATTGTTAGGAATTAACAAGATGAAATAGGAAGGCAGAGTTGTGTTCAGGGCTGAGGGTGCAGCAGATGTAAAAGTCCTAAAGAAAAAGCGCTAGTCATGTTCAACACAAATGAGTTGAAGAGAAACATGAGATTACATGGTGAAATGTCCTGCGTGTCATCATTAGATATTTAACTTCGGGTTTTAGAGAATTGGGAAGACAGTTGTTGTAAGATTGGTATTTTTGTTAAAACTTACCACAGGCCTGATGCACATTTGGACAATGAGTATTTTTTAATTAGATAGTTCCATGAATATTCACAGTGAATTCAGCTGTGTGACCAGCATCCAGGTGACACAGCTTTATGAGCATCCTAACTATTCCCCTTCATCTCTCCTTCTAGTCAACCCTGTCCCCTACCCACTAAAGACATCTCTTTCTGACTTTCTGCTTTTCACACAGCATTGCCTATGTTGTTCTTCTTGTAAATAGGAGAATATAGTACACACTCACTTGAGTGAGGAAGCCAGGCGTAACTTTGTGATGATGAGATTCATATGTGTTGTGGAGCACGATTGGTATTCATTCCTGTGGCTATTGAATGTTCCGCCGTACGCACGCACTTCGAGCTTTGTGTTTTTCTGAGATCCCTGCATCTGCCCCATGCAGAACAGAAAGGTGCGAAGTCACTAGGCTTCGTGGTAAATGTAAGAAAGAGATAATGGGACTTGAGCTAGTGTGGTGACAATGAGGATGAGGAAAAGTGGGCATATTAGGGAGAGATTTGTGAGGTACAATGTATAGGATATGGTGATTCATTGGATGAGGGATAAGAGACTCCAAGGATAGCACGCGACTCTAACTTGTGCAGGGATTGTTGGTGGTGCCCATTATTAAGTCCAGAACTAGAGAGGAAGTGGGTTGTTGCTCGAGCTTTGGTAACAGGGGAGTAATGACTTCAGTTTCTGCTATATTGACGTCCCTGTGAGGCAATGTGCAGGCCAGCTTTACCCAAGTGTATAACTGTCCATTAACTGAATGAATAACTGGATATGTGTTAATAAAATTCATATCTTACCTGCCTTCTCACTATTCCTTGTCTCCAAGTCTCAGTAGCTACTCTTCTTTTTAAAAATGTTTATAGAACTAGTTTTGTCACATCTTATGCTTTAAAGAAATTTCTTAATGCAATGTTAGAGACCATGTGCACACGTGTGAGTAGAGGTGAAAGACAGAGGAGCACCATCCACAGGCCGCAGTCCCCTTCCCCAGTTCTCCAGCCCACCAGATCTTGGGCACTCCTGTATATGTCCCATGTGCTTCAGGCTGACAGGGCTGGGGTACAAACTATGGTCATTTTGTGGGATCCAGCTTATCTTATTATTTTTATTTTATTTTATATATTCAATCACTGTACATCACTACAGCTTGTGAAGTGAATTTACCCAACATGAACACACTTCCCTCCAGTCCAGTTGAAGATATCCTACGTGTTATCAACAGACAGTCCCTCATTTCTGTGTCAGTTAAGCAGCACATCACTGCTCTTCCTCTCAACTGGTCCTTATACCCTTTCTTTTCATTTAGACAGTATAATTTCCTTACACAAGAGCTAAATTGATATGTGTAAAGAATAAGAGTTTCTAACATATATAAAGGCATATTGAAATGTCTTCATACTTAAAAAATTGTGTTTCCATTATTATCTTTCCTATAATTAGCATAATGACCACATCTTAAAGACCACATCTTAAAGTGAGTTTGTTTTTAGGGAGTGATTTACTTGGCACGACTTTAACAGAGCATAATAAATGATTGTTTAGTTTGGTAGGGGAAAGGCAAGTAAGATCATGGGGATGAGGTATGACCAGATGGTGAACCTAGGGAGGGCCCCATGGAGAAAACCCAGCTGTAGAGAGCAGGGAGGAAGTATCTAATTTGAAAGGGATAGAATGACAGAGGAGTGGGATGGACGTGATCAAGAGGAACTCTACCTGCTTGACAGTGCTGCCAGGACTGGGTGTACTTGGGAGACTTTTCTGTGAAGATAAATAATCAGTATAGAAACAAATAATCAGTGAATAGAAACAAATGGCTCAGTAGCAGTTTACCTAGCTAACACCAGTAAGTTATGACTTTGTGCTGTGTTTGGACACAAAATTTGAACTAAAATCAAGGAAGTTTATTCTTCTCATGTCCATGAAGGTTGGGGCAACTTAATAATCATGATCATAC